GTTGTGTGGGGCGGGTAGCGGCAGTGCTGGGAGGCAGGTTGGGGGGGGTCTACGGCCAATTTTGGGGTAGCTGCAGCCCCCCCACATAGCCCCATGCGAGCACTGCCTGCCCTACCAGTAGGATCCCACCCTGCCTCATGCAAATCTGGGGCCCCCGCATGCCTTCCTGTACAAGTGGCAGGAGCCACCAGGTGAGTGGGCAAGCACTGGATGAGCTGCTGGATGAGCAATTCCCGGAGGAGCGGCATGCAGTGGTGGTAGCCTCTCCCCACTCCCCTGGATGAGCCATGGCTCCATCCAACGCTCACCCTGTCCTGCCTGGGCAGCGCTTGCCTCAAGCATACTCCTCCTTTACCACAGGGGCCTTGATCTGCCCATCCCACACTGCTTCCCTCTCCCCTCTCTTTCCACCACATCAGACTTACCGGCTGCATGCAGCTCTCCAAGCTGCCTGGCTGGGCTCCTCACCATCTACATGCTGCACTGCGGCTATGCACATGCACGGGCCATTTAATCAGCCATATCAGGCCAGTTTCCAATACAGTCAATTTTCTTTTTATCATTTCCGATCCAATAACGGCCCAATATATTGGTGCACCTCTAACTGAGGGTAAGCACTGCAACACTAGGTAAGCTAAAGTCTTGATTTCCTGCACCTGGGGTATGGAGGTTTTACCTTGCCTATACCCATACCTCAAAGTCAGCATCAAACACTTTTGCTTTGCAATGCAAGGAAATGCATGCTTTCTGACATCAGTTTTCTTGCAGAGAAAGTGAACCCCAAGACATTCATCAGATTAATGAACACCTTTGTAAAAACATATCTCTGAACAGTATTTTTTCTCCCTGAAACCACAAGTCTTAACATGAACTCTTTTTATGCCAGCATTACGTTCAGTGATCAACATTCTACATTTTATGTACTGTATTTATCCAAATCTAAGATGAACCTCCAATAATTATATTCTATATATGGAAAAATTATAAATTTGGGGTTTTTATCAATTTTTTAAATATATTCTGAAAGCTTATAGCCCTATGCTGTTTTTATGGAAGCTGTGGATGTTCAACACCTATAAAAAAAAAATCAAACCACATATTTAGGTAGCTAAATAACTATGTTTTGGCTTATGTGTAAATTATGCTGAACACAGTCTTTGCCTTGAAAAAATAATCCACTACACACATACAAATGGCCATAACATAACAAGATACAACAGAAAGAATGGTAAACAATAGCTGGAATACTTCATGGAAAGACAGCTCTTCAGAGAGGCAATGCAAACACTAACTGGAAGTGAAGTGAAAAAATGTTCAGAGCTGGGAATGAGTGAAGGGAATACTTTAGAGAAACTCTGGTGACGACTACCAAACAATGAGGATATGACACTGGCAGCACAAAACTGCAGAAACTTGAAAGTTAAGAAGTCGTCAGTAAAGGATGTTAAAATGCTGGAAGTGAGAGAGGTCCAGCAGCTGTTAATTTAAAGAGGCCAGGCAGAAACTGTCTGAGCCCCCAAAGCCTGGAACAGGTTCCCTCCAGAGGTGGTGCAAGCACCTACTTTGGACTCCTTTAAGAAGCATTTAGATGCTTATCTTGGTGGGATCCTTTGACCCTAGCTGACTTCCTGCCCTTGGGGCAGGGGGCTGGACTCGTTGATCTCCCGAGGTCCCCTCCTACTCTAATGTCTATGAAATCTATGAAATAAGAACTGAGACAAAATGTAGTCAGTTCCAGCAGCAGGAACAGTAGTATAACTGAGGACAACCAGGGCAGCTGCCCTAGATGCTGTATTTTGGGGGACCACAAAAATAGTTGTTGCTGCAGCGGTTGGCTAACCACACCACTACTGCCAACAGCACATCAGCTGGCAGTGCCCGGCATGCCAAAGCTGCTCAAGGTGCAGAGCTGCCCAGTAAGGCCTTTAGGCAGGACAAAAAATAAGAGGCAAACTGCTACTAAGATTCCAGTCTTAACAGAAGAAAAAAACCAAAGAAATAGAGGCCAGAGAAAAGGAGATGAGACCTTTTTAGTGAGAAGTGGACAGCTTTGGACATAGCGCAGCAAAGTCAAGATTACTGCATTTTGTACCAATGAAATGAATGAGTTTGTACCCACATTATGTCCCGTCTACTGCTCTTTAGCATTGATGTGAAATGCAGGCTAGGGACTTAAAACTTGAAAGACCTCACACAAGAATACATGAAAAGAAGAAAAGGGGGGAATTAGAAAGGAGAGTCCTGGTAGACATATGGGAAGGTATCTAAAGAAGAATAACCAAAAAGCCAATAAAACAAGTCAGCAGGCTAAAATAACCAGAGACAAAATTAAAAGAGGCCTGAATGAAAGTCATTGGAGGGAGAACAAAGCGATCAGAGTTGAATGCAGTGTGCAAATTAAAAGGAGAGAAAAAAGAAGAAGCAGTTCAATAACCTTAGCTCAGGGAATGCGGTGTGATGAGTTTCAACAGAATGAAGACATTGACAAATCAGCAGGGATTCTGGTTTTCTCTGTCTAAAAATTGCTAATTCTCCAATTTAAAACCCCCCAAAATCTGTTTTTCTGAGCTTAAAATGAATCATCACTATATAAATAGGTACCAGTTGAACACAATGTTATATTGATATATTTACAATTTTAAAGCAATTTGGAAGCCAACCACTGCCTCAACCACTAAAATAAAATAAATTCTAAATACCTATAAATGTTGGCATTCAATTGTGGGGTTTTTTTTATCAAGGGAAAAATCAAAGCTCCACCTGCCCCCTTTGCTCACTAGGATGCGGGTTCAGCTGCGGTTGTCCCCAACCACTACTTTGTGGTGCTGAGCAGCCCTGATATGCTGGTGCTCTGCCCATGCCACTGCCATCTCACTCCTAAGCCACAGCCCCACAGGCTCCTCAATCCTGACCCAAAGCCCCATGGCTCAGCCAGTGCCCCTCACTCCCAACCCACAGCACCCCACCCCTCCCAGCCCTGCATGGCACCCCTTGTGTGTGGGCGTGCATGCAACCCTAGCACCCTCTGTGTAGGAATGCGTGCACGTGGCACCCCCTGCGTGATTGCCCTCCTCCCACTCTTTGCAGACTGCTACTCTGCCAGCCTGAAAGGGGAAACCCGCCATTTCCCGTGTTTTTCTCCTTAAAATGAGAAAATCCACGTTTTGCCACATTTTTCCATGGTGAACGGAAAACCCAGATCCCTGATAGTCAGACTTCAGACAGAGTCAAAGAGTTAAAGGGCACTTGAATACCCTACTTGTTGACAGTGTAAACGTAAAAAGAAAGGAGGAAAATGTTCATTAGCTAGAATGAAAGATAAGGTACCGGCAAATGCCTTTTCAGGTTACTGGAAAGGAAGGTACAAATGAACACAGAAGCAGAAGGAATCAAAGATGGAAGGGGAGAAAGATAAAGCAGTGGAAAGCCACAAGATCAAAAGCACGAGTTTTGAGTAAGGAAAATGTCAGAATAAGATAAGCTTTAAAGTCAGAAATGGGGCAAAGGATGCTGGAAAGTGATCCTGCCCTACTCAAAATGCATAATCTTGAGCAGAAAGGACCAGAGAGGAATCAGATTGGACAAAAGGCTTAACGTTTGAAAAAGACAGCATCTTTACCGATCTCAGAAGTAGCGGAAGGGACAGCCTGCTCACTCACACACATATACTTGCACTTCAAAACACCTTTTGCTTTGGGCACGGAGCAAACAGGGCAAATTTTAGCCTAAAAAATTAATTTTTTTCAAATCTGAGCTTGTAAAATAATGGAACATAACAAAAACTTAATTTTAAAACAGTAGTGGTTATGCGACCCACAATAACAACTCAAGACAACTCCTAAGAGGAATGAAACGTGTATTAGTTAAAAATAAATATCTGGTTGCTGGAATAATTCAAATGGTGGCTGCCAGTTTTAAATGAAGCTTACTGAACTGTGGATTTTTTTTTACCTGAAGGTTTCCTCTTGGAGCTGTTCTAATTGTGTTTGCAGTTGCAGATGCCTACGTCCTGCAGGGCTGTTGGGGTCTTCAATAGAATCAGATTGATTCAAACGTTCCATCAGGATTTGGTTTTCAGCTAGTAAACTGCTTTTCTCCTCTTGAAGTGCTGCAACCTGTTGCAATGAAACAACAAGTTGCAACTATGACATTATCATGTTCAAGACCAAATTTTGCATGCAGACTATTAGCATGACCCATGACTGAAGACCTAAGGTCTCCTAACAAATATACTGAGGACAACATGCTCTAGTTTTAACTATTTATCTAATTCCTATGTGATGCAAGCCAAGACACCAGAGCAATGGGGATATAAAATTAATATGCAGATGTTAGTGGTTTAAGCTGTATTTATCAAAAGGCATCTACAATCAACTGGCTGAATTTTAAAAGGAAACAACTGTTGTATTGAAATCTTATCAACCTTTCAAAACCAAGAATCTAGAGTCCTTTTTACTTTGAAATGTGACCAACAAAAAAGACAAATTTGCATTCCAGGTTTACTTTAGTCATATCTTCTAGATTAGGACTGCTTAGTTAATTAGTAAAATATGACTTCTCTAAGGTCTGGTCAACACTTCTTTTTTGCATAACTATTTTGATTGCAACAAGATTTTTTTAAACCAAATTAAATATACCATTACAACAGAATACTTGGCTTGGCTTATTTCCTTCTTGTATATGGAAGTTAAACCTGTATGTAAAGCACCTTTATACTAATAAAATTGTACCACTACTAGGAAGATTGTACTGTTTTGGCAGTTCTAGTAGAGTTAAAATAGTACAACTATTAAGCATTTGTTTTCATTGATAGATCTCCATGCTACCTCCTGTCTTTAGCTGTCTAAGAATCAATATATCCCTTCTCAATCTCATGCTACAATTTCCATAACTTAATTGTGTACATATAACAAACAGCCTACCTGCATATCTAATTCATGGCACCTCTGAGCAATTTCTTCTTTTGTTGCTAAGGCTTCATTTAATTCTTCTGTTGTTTTCTTCAACTATTATAAAACAGCATAATTTTTTTTATTGTCACCATAACATTATAACAGATTTAAGTAGTCTGTAACCATAAAGCTGTTGAATTATATCACTGTATAGTTTACTTAATGCAGCTGGATTACTGATTTTGAAAAAGTCAGTGACAGTTTTCTATTCTATAATAAGAAAAAGGGGCACCTATGGTTAAGCACAGACATGGCCTAATTTATGTAAGGAAGATAAACACATCAGAAGGCAATGCCTGGACCTGGAACAAAATACGTAATTCTACATACTGTGCCCAAGAACCTGTGCAACCTGAATGTTAAAAAAGGTATAATCTCTGTAAATTTAAACTGTCAACACCACTTTTCTTTACAGATGCAAAGAGTGAACAGTTTCAGTTTTTAACTATTTTTGCAACTACACAAAGGATTGGGAGATGGAATACAAGGAATAGACAATCAAGGTAAAACCTGTCTAGCCACTGGGTACCACCACTTGATGTACAATGGGGAAAGTTACTGTGGTGACAAAGTCTAAGAGCAGTCTGAACAAAGACATTCACTCTCATGTACAAAGTTTAAACATTCTGTCAGGTCTGTAAAAAAGAATCTTATACCAGTTGAAAGACTTATGACTTTCACGTTTCTCAAGGAATACAGTTGGAAGTCAATGTACAAACCAAAAAAACTGGTCTGAGAAATATGCACAAAACTACATCTTTGACATATATATGAAAAATTATTTTAAAAAACTATTCTTCAAATATCTAGTCTACTTTAGTGAAAGGTATCTTTTTCATTTTCCAAGACTATGTGGAACAGCTGACCTCTAATATTAACTCCATCTCTTTCTTAGTACAGACTAAATATTTTAAGGTACAACAATGCAGAAACAGCATTATTCTCCATACTACAATTCTGGCATCTTAAAGGAATGGCATATAGGTAGGCAGGTATAAGGAGAACATAAGCAACAGAATGTGCTTTCTAAAAATGGGCATATAATAGATGATAATACATGTGTGATGTGGTATGACATTTCCTCAGTTTCAGCCACTGAGGGATTTTACCAAAATTTCACAATAGGTCTCTGGTCTGCTTGAAGGATTTTGGAGCCAGATCTAAGCTATGAACTTCAGTGGGAGTGTCTATATGTTTACTGATGCACATTAAGTTTAGTACCTGTAATAACAGGTACTAAACTTAATGTACTGTAATCAGCGCTACTGTACATTAGCACAAATGCTTTTTTGTGATGCTTAATGCTCATTGGACAAAGTCTACTGCGCATTAGCACAAACAAACTTGTTTTGGTGATGCTTAATGCTCATTGGACTAATGTACTGCATATTAGCCCAGCTTCTGCCAGCCATGCTAATGCTTAGTAGAATTAGTCCAATGGACATCAAGCGTCTCAGGTAGACGTGCCCAGTGACAACACAATAGGGCAAAAAGTTTTCCTTACAGCTAATAAATGCAATTAATGCATGTGCATATGTGTGCACAACAAATAATGCCATAGTTTACATGTTGTATCTACAAACTATTCATAATGCTTACAATGAATCTTATTCCCCAAAGAAATGTTTTCATTTTAAAAACAGTATGAATGAGAAAATTCAGAAAGTATAACCCATACAAATAGCAAATTCGTAATAGTATTTTTTTAATATGGCCCATGCTGCTGTTAATGAAAAAAACCCCAAAAAATACATGTAAGTGTAAATTCTGACTAATTATCTCGCAAGACAATGGTGCTTTAAGGAGAAATATTACATTGAAAATTTGAATTTTGCTGTTTCTTTTACTTCCCAAAAAGATTTTCTACCGAAAAATAAGAGGCAGCTAACTTGATAGTATACCAGAATGACTGGACACCAATTTCCTGCGATTAAAGAAAAATAAACATCTGGTCTTAGATACCTGACGATCAAGGTCAACGTAAGCATCATTTCCAACAGAGACTGGTGATTCTTTACTCATCAACTGCAATTAGATTACACTGGATTAGAAAAAGCAAAAGATTTATTTGTATATTAAAAGCTAAGCTTTCAATGAAAAAACAGGTTGATCTTATATTTATGGAAGCTTTCTTTGACAATAAGACCTCATGTTTTCACTATATTTTATATACGGGGTATATGCAAACAGAATTAGAAATGTTCAGGACTTAAAAAAGATATAACAAGCATGTAAAGAGACATCTTATCTGATCTGGTTTTCTCTGAAAAAAGCATGTCCATCATTTATCTCAAAAGGCTGGAGCTGTTCTTTGCAGAGAACTGTCAGCAAACACCAATACAGCAATAAGGATCTGCTTCTAGAATTTCATACTAGCAATGTTTTACAATGTTCCCACATAAGGAACCCTCATAACCTCTCCCCCACTCCAAACTGGGCACCTCACGAAATCTTTCTGCAAAGAAAAGGAAATTGGTCTTGACATTCTGCAAGCTTGTTTGAATTCCTATATTAAGAAACTATGCTCTAAAATGAATATTCTCAAGTCTGAAACATTACCATAAATTATCTGAACTATTTTAGTAAAACAAACTGTATTTTGTAATGTGGTCAGGATGCAGAGAAAAGAAACACTATCCCTTTTAGATATAGGCTGCCAGGAACACTTTAAATGAATTAATACAATTTTCCCAGAGGAAAATAACAGGTAGAAAATAAAATCCTCCTTCACTGCAAATGGCCACCAGTTTTTTAAAACAGGGAAATGGCTAGAATAGAATTAAAGCAAAAGCAAAAATTCCCAGACCAACCCCCTCTCCCACCCCCCTAAAAAAACCCACCCAACCAAAAACAAAGCAAAAATATTAAGATGAAGGTAATACTAGTAACAAGAAAGATAAAAGCTACTAAGTTGTAATTAATCAAAAACAAGAAGGCTGCTTCTGCTTTTCTTCAGAATAGTTACAACATAGTTAATGTCTTAGGTTTTCTTCTTTACTGGGAATCATAAACATTAATCCCCATAAGGAATTACTGGTCATATATCCCAGTGGGGGCCAAACTTTCTGGCAGATGCGTCACAAATTAGCCCTCTCACCTCCCTGAGTGCTACTACTCTTGCTTGATCTGCTGATCTGTTTTTTGCCCTATTTGGCACTGTGCTGCCTGTCCCCTCCTACAGTCTACCACAAGTGCCACACAGAAGCTGCCTCTGCCACTTGTGGCATGCACGCCATAGGTTGGCCACCCTTAATTTATCCTATTCATCAATTTCAGGGCAATGCTGTTTCCTTTTCAGTATAATTCTTCATGTTTATTCTTCACTTAGCCTGGTATTTAAAATCTCTAGAGAGGGAGGTTTCCATTATTTCCTGCAGAGGACCAGGCTGTTGTAATACATCTCACTATCAAAGTTTCTCCTGTTTATTTCTATTCACATTTTCTTTTGCTAACATTTTGCCCCATCATATCTGGTTATACCACCATATACAACAGATCTCTCCCCTTACTCCATATCTACACGATTCAAGCATATATATTTTACCCTGTACCTTAGTTGTCATTGGGCAAGTTACAAATATTTAAGATAATCTAAAAAGTCCCTTCAGCCAGGCACCATTTTTGTCGTGAGTCACCACATTTCTTTTAGTTTATTCATAACTTCCTGATCGCAGGTTCCCCAGAAAAAAACCCCCAACACCTATTCCATCAACAGAACCAAAAATCTTATGAAAGAAAAGATAAAGGCTCTAGCCTGTATTACAATACTCCTACAAAGCTGAGTCACAGGACTTTCTTGTCACCACAGACTATCAAATGGCACACGCTGATTTACAGAATTTACCTGAATCCCAGATTACTCTGAATTTAAGATGACCCCCCAGTAATTAGATTTGATGCATGGAAATTTATACATTTATTTTAATTGTCCATGTATAGAATCTAATTATTAGAGGGTTGTCTTAAATCTGTCCCTCTGCACCACTGCAGTGGTGAAAGCAGTGGCAAAGGGGACAGGCAGTGCAGGGGAACAGTAGGGGTCAGTAGCGCAGGGGAAGCAGCATGGGGCAGGCAATGGGGGAGTCAAGCAGGCTGCCACCTGCTCCTCCACACCTGTCACTTGTCCCACCCCCCACATTCCCCCATGCCTGCCTTCCTCCTGTTGCATCCCCCCTACTGCCCGTGCCACTGCAGCCAATGGCCCCACCATTTGCTCCCCACTCCCCCAGCTACCACCTGGGGGGTTCCAACTGGGCTAGGCTGGACTGGGGCCAGATCAACAATGTGCTCTGTGCCCTGGGCTGGAGTGGGGGCATACCCAGGAAGATAAGCAGCAGGAAATGGGAGAGCAGAAGCAGATGGCAGGTGGAGTGGGGGGGCAGGGAGCTGGTGTGGTTCTGGCTCTGAGCCTGGATTGAGGCCAGAGTCAGAGTTGAAGTCAGAGCTGCAGCAGCTGCCCACTCCTGTGCTTCCTTGTACTCAAATCCAAAATGAGGGACTCCCCCCATCCAACTGGGGGGAGGAACCAAAAAAATTGCCTTAGATTCAAGTAAATAGTCATTTACTACAATAATTTTCTGAGCTACATGTCATTTAATAATAATATTCTCTGCCAGTATTTTCTAAACTTTCTAGCCCCACTAACCTTATTTCCATCAGAGGTGGTCATGCTATAACCCAATCACTTGATTTCATTAGTAGATGTATACAACCATCTTACAGAACATTAATAAAGATATTGCAATAAACTCAACAATGACTCTTGGGGTACTCACATACTTATTTCTCTTCCTTGGCTGATGACTAACATCACTCTATTAAAAAGGTGACTGGCTTTCAATTCTGCACAGAAGTATGGAAATGAACATTCTTAATCAAGCCAATTTGATTTCTATAGGGTTTCTTGTTTGATATTTTTTGGGTTTTTTTAAGAATGTTATACTAAATGCATTACTCTGAAATATTAACAAACTACTTATATTAATTTCACACACTTTTTAAAACATTCCATCAAAAATGTAAATCAGATCTCTCAATTATTGCTGTCCTAGAAATAGGACTATATCCTCCACACTAAAGGATCTTCTGAGCATATATTAACCAGCTACTTCCTTGTCACTGCAGTGCCTGGGCACTGAAAGTACCCTCATCTCCCCTTTTACCTACATCATTTCATGGACTATTCTGGATGCTTCAGGAATTGTTCTATGTAGTTCTGTGGGACAATATGAAGTGGTAATTTTTAGATTCTTTGAGTAAATGGTTGCATGCAAACACAAGGGACTGGACTTGATGGCCCAGGTGGGGCCTCCAAGTCCTATGTTTTTATTCTTCATTATAGGTTTTCTATTGTTTGTTAGTGCATAATAGTTTAGATTAGGGGTCAGCAATGTTTTTGGGCAGAGTACCTAAACACCCACAACCTCGACTGGTAAAATGTTGGTGTGACAGGGCTGATGGTAGGGCCCTAAGGTGCACATGCTAAGCAAAATTCCTTTGCATGCCACACTCTGGCACTTGTGCTGTGGGTTGCCAATTCCTGGTCTAGATACTTACAGGTCCGTTTCTTCTAAAATGTTTTTCCCCCAAACATTTTATTAGCAACTACTGCTTAATAACCTTAGCAAAGTCAAGGCACCCAGGTGTATGGTGAGATCTTTTGAAGAGTGTGGCAGGGATGAGAAGATAAAAAGATTAAGTGCAGGCTCAGACTCAGTCCTTGCTTGGCCCTTTCCCTGCCCCCACTGCCCAGCCCCTCTGCAAAGCGGTGAAAGAACTGTAATTTATTTTTGAAATGGGCTGCCACTCTAGTCATAAAGGTTATGAAGAGGTGTTTTGAATTTAATGAGCAGTGCCTTGAAACTAAAAAAAAATTGAGCCCCACTTCCTTTGCAGGGTTAGCATTTCTCTTTTTGAAGATAAGCTTCCCACTTATTTATTCTCCAGCATTAAAAGCTGCAGCTCATTTCCTAAATGAGCTGTGTTACTTATCCTCTTGACCTACCACTGCATTTTGGAAACCTTCAGATTTCCCAAATATTTCCACGCATTTTTGTTTTCAGTATGGGCTGGCCTTCTGCAGCCATAATAGTTGGGCCATATAGTAGAATCATGTTCAGTGGCAGTGAGAGAGTACCACTGGTTAATATAGGGGTGTCAAAGATAAAGCCCACAGGCTAGATCCAGTCCATGAAGCCCTATCATCTGACCCCTAGTGCTGCCCTCAAGTCTCTGGGTTGACCCACAAGCAGTACACAGGGCACACAAGATGGCTTTGTGTGTCACACACAATGCCTCCAGCTCTGCTACTCCAGGTCTCTGCTACATATGATGGCTGCTCTGGGGCTGTAAAGCACTTCTGTGAAGTATATTCCTGGAGAGGCAGAGGGGCTGCCGCATGCAGCACAGCCCTGGCACTGTACCACGCCACACATGGTAGCCACTCTGGCCACTCCAGGATGCAAGCTAGATCCAAACTGTCAGGCTAATCTGTGGATCTGATCCAGTCTGTGGACCAGCCCCATGACACTCATCTGGCCTGCAGGGCTGAATGATTTTGACACCCCTCGGTTAATGTGTTTCAAATACAGAGATTGCCTGTCTCACCTGCAAAAACTCAGAAGCAGGTAAAGACAGCGCTCCAATTTACCCTCTAAAATTACATACAGGCAATCTCCGCTTAGCGCTCTTAATTGGTTCCAGAAAAAACGAGTGTCAAGCAAAACCGAGTATTAAGCGAAACCAACTTCCATTTTTCACTTTCTAAAGCCATCAGAATCATTCTTAGGACATGCTCATGATTGTTATAATGAAACTTGCTGAGTGCTAAGTGGAATCCCGTATCAATGTAAAATGAGCATTATAGCAAAATAGTGCTAAGCAAAACAACGTTAAACAGGGGTTGCCTGTATATATTTTTTAATTTAAATAGTGGCTTATAATGAACACAGGAATCTGCCTTCATCCATGTTACTGCAGCATTATGACCTTAATTCCTTAATTTCAATCCAGCACTCATAATTCATTTTAATGAAACCTCTATTACTGCCTACTGATATACCATATTTTCTTGCATACTCCCCCCAAGTAAAACATCCAAAGAACGAGATGTAAGGCAGAATGTGGAAAAAAAGATTTTCCAGAGGCACAGCTGACTTGTGTGACAGCATACAGGAAGTGAGACATAGCAGGAAATAGTTAGGAGGAGGTAGCAAGCCTGCCATACCAGAACACTCTCCAGGCTGCCACATTTCCAGGACATACCGTTTCCAGGAAGACTTAAGCCTTGTCTTATATTCAAGTACTGGCTGAGGCAGGTGGCTACTGAGACCCCAGCTTCAGGCCCAGGGTGAAGTTAGAACACAGTCCCTGCCTGTCCAGGCCAGGGTGGCTTGGGCTGCAGGGGAGACTGCCTTAGCTACCACTGCTGACTGCCCCAGAGCCAGAGATGCTGCAGAAAGTAAGCAGTGGAGGGAGGAGGGGGAGGGAAATGGGGTAGTGGGCCAAGGGGCATGGGTCTGGCTGCCTGACTTCCCACCACTGCTTTCCTGGCTGCAGCAGAGGAGGCGGGTGTGAATTTAAGATGACTGCCCCAATAATTATATGCTATACATAGAAAACTTATAAGAAGTTTATCATTTTCCACATACAGCATCTAATTATTGGGGGGTCATCTTAAATTCAAAGTCATCTTGGATTCAGGTAATTACGGTAAGTTCCTGTAAACGATAACATATTGTTTCCATACCATAACACTTATCAAGTTATTACAGACTACAGCCACTTGCCACTTTTACAGCCAGAGCACTTAGCTTGTGCCTAGAGTTACCACTTGATTCAACCCCTTGTGTTTGCAGAATCACACTGAAGCAGCAACCATCCTGAAGCAAGCAGACACCATGCCATCATGGCTGCCTATTCCCCCTGCTTATATCCCAGTAAAGAAAAAACAACTTCCCTGCTTAAGACAAGCACCCCAATTTTGGAGGGCTGATTTGGAGGGGAAAAGATATGTGTGGCATAAAAAAAATCACACGTTTGCTGCTTTAATCAAAACATTCTTTAAAAGCAAAATTAATCTATCCCTTGGTAAATGAGTGGATTTAATTTCAAAGCCACAAATGAAACAATAACTTGGGTTACAAGATAATTTCTTCAGTTTATATTATGCCATTTTATAGAAAATAAATGGCATTTCTTCTGATATTTGTATTGTTACTTTATGACAAAGATACCTTTCCATCCTCAAAGGCATATGACAAATGGCATTAAAGAAAATACTTACAGCCATACTAGTTTTATAGTATTAAATCCTTTATCCATTTTAACTGGTTTACTCATAAAGGTTGAATTAATTTGAGTTGTCATGGATACAAGATGATCATGGAATCTGCGCGCAATGATTTTCTTCTTTATCATGTATATGGCTTAAGTTCTGTATTCTACAAATACAGCACTACAGCTTATTTTAGTCTGTTGTAACTTCAAGATGCTTACTTCATATATATTGCTGCCTCATCCTACATAATGTGCAAACTCAGTTAATTTCCTTTGGACACACATTAGGGTAAGGTTTCTTTTTCAGGCAATTTAGTTGCTTTTAAGAGACCCAAATGTATGTCTGATGTGTTCCACACTGTTTAATTTTCCCCACTATTCCTGATGGGCTCAGTGGAAGATTATCCATAAAGGAAAAAACAGTTTAAACTAAACACAAAATGAACCTTGAAAATAATTAGGTGACAACATAGGAAAACTGATATTTGCTGACTTCTGGATAGTTTGGAACCAAAACAAGGAGCAAAGTCCTATGTACTGCACAACCTCAAGCATGTCTGACACTGCCTCCAGTACTCAGCACTAAAGGACCTATTTAGACTGCCTGCTGCACACATTCACCCAACAGGAAAAGAAACCTGAATGTCTCCAAGTTTAACATTTATGAAATAATGGAATTTCCCACCATTACTCTGAAGTTTTATTTCTCTAAATGATTGGTCAGCAGACAGTGTATAAGACTCCTATGGTCTGGATAAGAGACAAAATGCTATCTTTGTAGAAAACCTGCAGTTTCATTTAATGTATTCATAAAATAAATTCAAATGCACCATACTGAAATTTGTCAGTGTTCAATTACGGATTTATCAGAGTCAACATGGAATTAACACTTTTTATTCTTGTTCACATGCAGAGTCAAATGGAACTCCAGTGGTGGACTGGGAGCAATGCATCAGCAAAGACACTAGTGAATTGTTATTTTTTCCTAGAGTACTTGCCAGAAAACCATTTCATTTAAAACCAGCAAAATCTGTTCCTTTATTTTTATTCTCTCTCTCATTAATTTGTTCTGCATTAAGTAACTGCCTATGACGCCTGTTTTGGGGTCATCCAAGAAGCCAATAAGCTGTTTCAGAAACACAAAAGCTGAGATACTGAAGTTACTTGATGTGAAGTTACTTTGTCTGAAATCCGAGAACTGAGATAAAAATGCTTTACAGCAAGGGTGGGCAAAATACAGCCCACAGGCCAGATCTAGCCTCTGGGTAAATGGCTGCCAACTCACTGGATCTGGCCTGTTGGCAGCCAGTGGCTCTGACCACCACATGGTCCCAGGCAAGCGGCCCAGTAGTATCAGGCATCAGCTCCAGACCTGGGCGGGGTTTTCCTTGCAGTGGGTGGGTGGTGGCATCAGCTGTGAACGCAGCAGGCAGGTTTAGGAGCCTGGACACAGAACCTGCTGTGGCATTCACAGCTGACCTGCTGCCCTCCCAGTGCAGTAGAAGCTCTTGCCCAAAACCTGCCAGCAGCATCAACTGCAGACACAGGCAGGAGCTGCTGCTGCACCAGGTGGGCAGCAGCGTCGCTCTCTCCTTCTCTTGCCCCCCCCAGCCTCCTCCCCCCTCCACACCAGTGTTGGACCTCAGCTAAAATATTATTAACTAAAGCCCAGCAGTTGAAGCACTGATATTCAACTGATCTGCTTAGCAGAAGAAAACTGGCAATAATAATGATAGCCATCACTAAGTTTCCCTGTATGAGTTTATCTAGTTTCTTGGCATGAGGCATTATGTTGAAATGAGACGATGAAATTATTTCTAGCACATAGTAAACCCACTAGTCTAAATGTTACTTAACCTACCAAAACAGGAGGTCTTTCCTTACAATACAAGTTTAATATATGGCTTAGTAAAATCTTATATTTCTAAAATATTTTTAGAATATATAATACAGTATATTTATTAACATACTACAATTTACTGTGAGGAATAATTAAAGCTAAAGCTAGACTACAGCTGACCAAACAATGAATGTTTCACTGCATATTTTCCCCTTTTTATTATTTGTTTGCTGCCCATTTACAAAACTCAGTACTTCATAACAAGTCTCCCCATTATTTGGTGCAAATTAACAAAATTTCTACAGTATTTGTTTTGCTACTTATACAAAAAGTATTGTAGTGTGTATTCAGGAGCCACAGGGAAGGAAAGGTAAAGGAAAGGGAACCCAGTCTCAAAGTATCTAGAAGCTTAAATCTTCTAGATTTAAAGAAAAGTGGGACATTTACCTGAACTCTATTACATAAGAAAGGCTTGCTTAACAAATTATGTTTTCCCTAATAAATGGAAAACAACATTATGCTAATTTTACAGATTTTGACTTCTGTGCCCCTTCTTTTAATTACTCCCCACTGAACTTAACAAAACTAAAAAAAATCTTTGCTACAATACTGTAAAGCTGAATTATTACATAATATGGGCACTCCAGCATACCTCCTGAATAGCTGTCATAACTACATGCTGAACCGACTCCTCCATCATCATAATGGTCTGGATGTATTCTGAAAACAAGAACATTCCAACATGTTACTATTTAAACTTCAGACTGTTAAACTGAACATGGGATAAAGGCTTCATCTATCATGTGGACTACAATGTGGGTGTGGGTGATGGAACCCCTGTCTTAATTGGTATCCAGCCCCAACCTAGCTAGTCCAGGTGTAGCTTAATGAAAAGGCATACTAATCAGTGCTGCAGGGATGTTGGTTGTGGCCATGTTGGTCTAAGGACATAAGCAGACAAGGTTCTCCAAGCAGATGTGATATCTTTTATTAGACAAACTACACAGTTGGAAAAAAGTTATTTGCAAGCTTTTGGGCACGAACACCTTTCCTCAGGCACAGGTAAACTGCTGTGTTCTCCAAGGTAGAAAATGTGTGAAGGAATGCAACTGGTCAGCTAGAGGCAGGTTACCTAGGATATCAGATGTCAGGCAGGTTGTAACATGTCATAAATCCAATGCCTATATTAAGTCCATGATTTTTTGTATCCAATAGATTTATTTATCCAATGTATTTATCCAATAGATTTATGAAGCCCCAGGACCCCAGGTAAGGCTGGCTCAGCCTTACCCTGGACTGGCCCCAGCCTCCCCTATCCCACCCAGGGTAACTTGCCGCACTCCAGAGCGCACATGACCCTGGGAAGAACTAGCAGTGGCACAAGGTGCACCACCACTAATTGTGCCTGGGGAACCAAACATCTACACATGTCTGGATATGGCCCCTGAGAGCAAGTAGCAGAACAGATATCAGATCCTGTATCATTTGGTACCCAAACCTACATAATACCACTTTTTGCAATTACCTAGAGCCATCTCCCAAATGAATAACTAAAAGATGAACTCAGTAGTTTTCACCTGTGCAGTTATTTTTCACTTCATGGAACCAGAAGGAAGAATTTTTTTTTGAGAAAAAACATTAAAAATTGTCATTATTACAAGACTTTGTAGAGTTGGAAGACAAAACAGTATCCTATGTATGGTGGCTGCACAGGCACATAGTTGGTGTATGTTAACACAGTCTAGGATGTGCAGTTTAGTCATGCAACCTATGTTAGCCTGGGGTAAGGTCACTAAGAATTTTCAGTGCAATGCTATGGAAAGAAGAGAAACAAGACCTCACATATGTGGTAACCACATCAATACAGAGTTTTGAGGTTGTAAGACATTCTTAGACAATGGTTTTAGGACACAGTGATTGGAAGCAGAATCAGTTCCGCAGTTCCAGCCTGCAAAGCTCAGTTAAGCTTATAATATAATGGTACTTATTACCAATAAGACAAAATAATTATATGACCTATACTAAATCAGACAGCAACCTCAGGAACACCATCCTCCTAGGTGATTTATGCAGCAAATCTGACTATCATTAACTGCTCTGAGAGCAAAATGCACATTCAAAATTGATTACCTTGTTTCTGTTCACAATTCACAGCACATCCCAAAATAAGCTGAAGCATTCTCCCAAGCTCTGCAGTATCTGAGTGCTCTCCAATCAGGTTAACATCAGGAAGGGTGAAGTCATTAATCTGCTGCCCTAAAATCTGCATGAAGACATAATACATTTACATATCAATATGCACAGCTGAAAGAAACAACTTGCATTTTTGGTACAGTTTTCACATCCAGCTTTGAGATATTAACCGGAATAAGATGGGTGACTTCAGCCCACTTGCTGCTGGACAGGGCTCTCAAAACACAAAGTCTCTCTCATAGTTAGACACAGTCAGTATTTCAGAAATACTAGACAAGGTTACCTTGACTAATAAGAATAATGAACTACCTCTTACCAGAAGAGACATCTATTTTTCAAGTTAGGAAATGAAGCCAGTAATGTGGCACCAGACAAAAGGTGCCTGTGTCCTGATCAATACAAGGTAAAAATAAATAAATAAAGCAGCTTTCTGTTATTTTTTATTAAAAATTAAATCAAGCATAATGATTTAATTACACCTCCAAGACAGGCTGTAAATCATACCACTAGGAAGCTAGAAATCCAAGTACTCTCATCATCCAAACCACATATTTTTAATCCAATGGCTAACAAAATATGGAACTTCAAAACTCTTGCTAGTCCCTTGGTCTAGCAGTTCTATAGACTTGATACAAAGGTATTTAGTAAGTTTCAGACTCAAGACAACTTATTTTTTGTCTTTAGAAAAAGTCTGGTGTAGTGGCTCAACACATAATTAAGCAGGAAAAAGGGGTCAGAAAAAGAAAGACTGAAAAATCATAAAGAAGAAAGAGTACAATGGATCCGAGAAGGAAACAGGACAATTATACTAGATATGGGGTGGGCAAAATATGGTCCACAGGCTCATGCCCAGCCCGCGGGGCCCCTCTGTAAGCCCCGGACCTTGCTGCCCCTCTGCAAGCCAGTGCTTCCATGCAGGAGGCTGCAGCTGTGGCTGCTAAGCAACCAGCCCCCACCCCCACCTGGCTTGACCCCTCCAGGCCCGAGCCAGCAGGCGCTGGAGACTAGAAGACTCGGCCTGGGCCCCCGCGGCTGTTCCCAGCCTCCCTGCCGGTATGCAGGTAAGGGCCACACCGGACCAGGGCCACAGACTCCCACTGGAGAAAAGGAGCTGGGAGTGTGGGGAGCCAGGCAAGGCTGGTCCTGCATGCTGCAAGAGTTGTGCATTATGGGGCTGGGTGGGGCCGGCTCCGCACGGTGCCACCACATGCGACCTGGGACTCGGGCAGGAGCACTACTGGGCTGGGCGGGGCTGCCCCTGAACGCTACCAACATGTGCAGCCTGTGACTTGGGCAGGAGCCGCATGTTACGGGGCTGGGTGGGGCTGGCCCTGCATGATGCCACCACATGCAGCTTCAGGCACTCACACATTCCAGGGGCTCCAAGGATCCCCCCCGCTACAACTCCCTCACAACCACACACTCCCAACCCGTACCATATCCCCAACACACACTCACACCCTCCTACCACCAATCACCTCTACAAACACTATACAGAACACACAAAATCAGGACAAAAATATTTTTTAAATAAAATTAAAAGTTATAGTAGATTTTTGATGTTTTTTCCTGTATATTATTAGGGTTTTTTTCAGTTTCAAGATGGCAAACCTCCCACTTGCAAAGGAGCACTTCCAGGGCAAGGGGACACACTTTCAGTGGCAAACATCAGGGGTTAGAGGTGGGACTTCTGATCCCAAGATGGCAGCAACCAAGGGCCAGGGCAATTGTCAAGGGATGGGGCTACACTTGTTGCCCTCAAAAGCTCACTAAATCTTATTAAGCGGCCCTCCAGCGCAATAACTGCCCACCCCTGTACTAGATATACAACTACTGTACGCAAATTTACATTCTGGAAGGAGCTACATGAATATCAGTAGAGAAAATTTAAGTTTTTCTCATTTGCTCTGAAAAGGCTCTGTAGGAGTTGAAAATGTGACTATACTTAAATATAGAGGGAAGCCTGGGTGACAACAACCATGAAACTATCATGTTCACTGTCCAACATGAGGCAGACAAATCTGATAGCAGGACTGAAGTCTGGACTTAAAAATTGCAAATTTCAACAAGCTTAGGTCACTAGTAGGGGAACTGCTGTGGGACTAAGGACTGAATGCAAAAGGTGTGCACAAAGAGTGGTTGTTCCTTAAGGACACAATCTTTGAAGCACAAAGGAAGTCCATTCCCACGCAGAGAAAAGGTAGCAGAAGGGCTGGGAAGCCCTCTTGACTAAACACGGAAATCGCGGTTCTCTTAAGAAAGAAGAAAAAGGCTTATAAACAACGGAAGCTCGGAGCAGGCCCCAAGGAAGACTATTCCATGACAGCCTGCATTTGCAGGGAACAGATAAGACAGGCTAAAGCAGTGATCAAACTTAGATTAGCAATGGGAATCAAGGACAACACGAAGTCCTTCTTTAGGTACATAGGAGACAGGAGGAAAACAAATGGGAGTGTGGGGCCATTGCTCAAAAACTAAGAAGAGCTGGTTGCACCCAGGAGAAAGCTGAACTGAATGACTACTTCACCTTGATCTTTTACCGGAGCAAAGGAAAAACAATGCCAGGTAGAGTACAGAATGAGCATGGTAGGAATAACTGCTTTCCTACTATTTCTGTAGAATTGGTGTATGACCAATTTAGAAAAATTAGACATATACAAGTGAGCGGGACCAGATGATCTTCATCCGAGAGTGCTGAAGGAGCTGGCTGAAATCATTGCAGAACCCCTGGCAAAACTCTTCCACAACTTGTGGCACTCTGGAGAAGTCCCTGAGGACTGGAAGAGGGCCAGTGTTGTGCCCATCCACAAGAAGGGCAGGAGGGAGGGCCCCGGTGACTATAGGCCAATCAGCCTAACTTCCCTCCTAGGGAATATCCTAGAAAAGTTCATCAAGGAGTCTATCTGTGATAAGCCTGCAGAACGTAAGGTTCTGAATGACAGCTAGCATGGCTTCATCACAGGCAGGTCCTGTCTTGCCTTACCAACCTCATCTCCTTCTATGACCAGGTAATTCGCCACGTGGACACAAAAGAGAGCAGGTTGACACTGTGTACTTTCATTTTCAAAAGGCCTTTGATCTAGTATCCCACAACGTCCTAGCAAGAAAATTGGAGGATTGTGGGCTTAACTCTGAGATAGTCAGGTGGGTGAGCAACTGGTCGCAGGATAGGACCCAGAGTCTTGTAGTGAACAGATCTGTGTCATCCTAGTGAGAAGTGGGCAGCAGTGTCAAGCAGGGGTCAGTGCTTGAACTTTTCAACATCTTTATTAATGGTTTGGATGCAGGGGTGAAGAGCTCACTGGCCAAGTTTGCAGACAACCCCAAGTTATGGGGAAGCATGGCCACGCTTGAAGATAGGCTACAGATACAGGCAGACCTAGAGAGGCTAGCAAGTTAGGCGGATCGGAATCTGATGTAGTTCAATGTCAAGAAATGTAAAGTGCTCCATCTCAGGACAAGCAACCCCCAACACATCTACAGGCTTGGTAGCACCAAACTGACCAGTACTATAAATGAAACGGACCTTGGGGTAATAATATACCACAGTATGAATATGAGCCGGCAGTGGAACGCTATAGCCAGTAGGGCAAATAATACTCCGGCATACATCAATAGATGCATCTCCAGCAAAACCAAGGAGGCGATTCTTCTGCTCTACCCAGCACCGGTGAGACCACAGCTGGAGTACTGTATCTAGTTCTGGGCACTACATTTTAACAAGGACATGGACAAGCTTGAGAAAGTCCAAAGAAGAGCCACCTGTATAATCAGAGTCTTACACGGCAAACCATATGAGGAAAAGCTGAGGGATCTGGGACTCTTCAGCGTGAAGAAAAGAAGGCTGAGAGGGGACCTGGTAGCAGCTTACTGCTATACTAGGGGAGTACATCAAAGGCTCAGTGAGCAACTGCTCACCAGGGCACCGAAGGGTAAAACTACAAGTAACAGCCACAAACTCCTGGAAGACCAATTCATGCTCAACATTAGGAAAAACTTCTTAACAGTCAGGGTGTGCA